GGCTCCTTTGGAGCTCCCTGCGCTGAGCGCACGGGGTCACAGGAAACGCTTCAGGCTGGCGCCCCAAACCACCACGCTTGGACACGTTTCCTGCTAACGCAGCGACCGCTTCCCAACTCAGGGAAGTTGGGCTGTCGTCTTCCTGCTGCTTCAGAGATTAATATTTGGCTCTATTTTCTGAAACACAGACAAGTCATGGGCATGGAAGAAATACACGTCCAAACCATCAACTGAATCTGAAATAATATAAAAAAAAAGGCAGAATAACCCCTACCCTTCATACTGAGGGCAAATATTTGGTTAACCTACCTTAAAAAAAAAAAAAATAGTGTGTAAAGCATGAGCTATTGCCTTTCCTTAATAAAGGCAAAAGATACTAGACAGCACATCCACATTTTCTCTCTGCTTTCTCTAATTTTATAGCACAAAGATCATATTCCAGTGCTACGGAAAGTGGTCTGGCCTAATTTGTTTGTTCTGTAAAATGCTTGGGGAAAAAAAAAAAAGCACTGAAATTAAAAAAATCACTGTATTTATTCTCACAATACAAACCAATTAATCTATGAACCTAAAAGCATGCAAGTTCTCACGGCACAGAGAAGACTTGTGTTAGTGACACTTGAAGCAGTTTATCCTTTGAAATTTCCCAGTCATTTCCCGAATTAGACACTCGGAGTGAACTTGTTTGTACTGCACTAAGCTAAGCCTCGTTCCTCACTTCTGGCAAGTAACTTGTGTTGCATCAGTTACCAACGTCCCGGAGAAGAAGAAGAAAAGAATTAAACAAGTATTTTCTTTTCACTGCATCCCATCTGCCGCAGGGAAGTGCAGGACATCTCAGTTATCCAAGGGAAAGGATTCCTCGATGGGCACTCGAAAAACTACATCAGGGCTTGGGAAACCTGTAACGTTCGCTCCAGAACCACATACATACATTTCCACCAAGCTGAAAGACACCTTCCGTTTCCTGCAATAGTGGTCACACTGAAGCCTGTCCCTGCTTTTGCCCATTTTCTTGGGAACAGCTTCTTTAGGCCACTGCTCAGTTTCCATACTAGCAATTGGAAGCTGCAGGAAGAAATAACACAGCAGCAGCAATCACGAATTTAAGCAGTGCAACACTCACTTCCTTAAAATCTCTTTGACTGATTTGTTTTCCAAACTAACTCTACCCAGTGGAGACCATCAATATCATAATCTACATAAATACTTTGCATTCCAAGTTTTTACTTTACTGCTTCTCACAGGCCCTTTAGAAGCCCATTTGAGCACAAACAACCACGAACAGGACTGGAGGAGCAGGCCCGTTTCGATCACAGGGCAGAGCTGCAAGCGGCGTCTCAATGACGGGGCCTCCCTGGGCTGCACGGGGCAACCACAGTCACTCCAAGGGAAACACAGTAACACCGGCTTCCTGCGCTTAACTCTCCATGCACTTTTAATAAAACACATTTATTAAAAACTACAATCAATTCAAGTCTACCTGGAGGGGACTGGTGAATCCCTCTGCATGGCATTTCTGCACTACAGCCAATAAAGATCCCCTGGAATGTGGGATATTGACGATAATGCAGCACCTCCACCACTATATTCAATTTTACGCACCAGCTCTGGGGATATCCTCTCACCCATTACATGTTTCCCAAAGGGAGGAGCCACAGATTTCATTAATGGGCAGGAGGATCTGAGAAAAGGCATAAGGCACCATAACTTACATTTGTACAGGACCTATGGAAAAGTTCCCTTAATTTGTGTTAGTTCAACCTCTCGCCACTGCTCCACATTACTAGAGAGTAGCCTGTTTAGAAGCAAATATCTGCACCACAGACACAGACATACTCTAAAGAATGAAAAAAAAAGAATAGAAAGAAAAATGTATTTTTTTAAAAAAGCAGTCAGCTAAAGATTCAAGGTTCAAAATCTGCTTCTTAAGACTGCAAAGAGAGTTTAAGTCTCTGATCTAAAAGACAGTAAAAATAATTTGCTACCCACTTGTCGCTTAAGCTTCTACCCAGAAACATAACATTTTAAACCTAACCATAAGGGTTGCAAATGCAGTAATGTAATTACTCATACATTTCTTCCTTCTAGTCAAGGCCCAGATCTCCTTGAACAGCATCACAACTTCCTTTTATTCCTGTTTCTGCCCTTGGTTTCCCTTCTCTTTTTTTCTGTCTCCTTTTGCCCCTCCATCCCCCTAAAACTGCCCATGCTGTAATTTCCTTTTAGCACTGCAGATCTGCCTTAAAAAAAGACAAAATAAAAACAAACAAACAACAAAGTTATTGGCTCAGCTTCTCCCGGATTCTTTTCCCTCCCTATCAGATAAACCTTCTAGATAACTGTGGTCCAGAGGGCAAATTGTGCTACTGCCTGGAATTCGAATTTATTCACCATTTGCCCTGGCAAGAAACCACTTCCCGCTTTCCCAAGCACTGTGATTTTCAGCTTGAAAGCCCCAAATGCTCTTCTGTCCTCTGTCATGAACACTTTAATTAAAGGACGCTACTGCCTACAGATCACATACACCATTGGGGAGCTAAACTCCAGAAAGGTGCTTTGTGGCAGGGCAAGATGGGGTTTTTTTTTTTTGGTGAGGGGAAGGATCCATAAAAACACAAGATAATTTTCTTGGAAAAGTTGGAAAGACTCTGAGCTTTATCAGAATTACTCCCAGTACCTCAAGTTAAAAAAAAATAAAATAAAGAAAAAAATCCCACAAGGTTTATATCTTCTCAGATACAAATGTGTAATTTGAAGACAGCAATACCTTTTCAGGTGAAAAAAAAAACTTAGTATTTGTATGAAAGGAAAATATATTCTTGTTAAAGTGAACTCAATGTTTTTTCACACTGTAATATCACAAGTTTTGAGTAAACGAATGCTACAGTTGTTAGAAATTGTTAATACCAGCACACAGAACAGTGAAGCCCGCTCCCTCTCAGCAACACAGTGCAGGGGGCGACAGGGCATTGTAGCAGTTTCTGCACTAAGGAGCACACAGGCTTTCCCATACGAACAGAGAAAACTACCCAGGCCCAGAGAGGCCAGTGTGAGCGAGTTAAATGCTGCAAGATGAGTTATGATGCATATGGTGCTTCTGAGTTATTAACATATAGTTCTCTTTTTTTTTCCCCCCCCTTCTTTTTTATTGCTCCCTGGTGAATTGATTATTCGTAACCAGTTATCTTAAATCCAAACAGTTTGTGTTTTGTGTTGGTTATAGGCCTCTTCCTCTTTTCCTCCCTTTCCTTCCTATTCCACCCGCTCCCAACGCTCCTAACCCAGTATCCCGCCTCATGGTGCCTAATCCCGCAGCGGCGCCACCGCAGGCACCGCATCCATAATCTGTCCAGCAGCCTGACCAGGGAGCAGATGGCTTTGCACAAAGTGATGATTAAAAAAAAAAAAAAAAAAAAAAAAAAAGAAGGAAAGAAAAAAAAAAACCCGAAGCCCCTCCACCAAACATTCAAAAAATTGTTTTATTCAGATATTTTCCGTTTTTACTAGGCTGAGTTTAACCCAAGTGCCACGCAAGGTAGGTGGGTGCATGTTCCTCAGAGCCACTGTTTAGCTCGCTGGGAATTTCAGAACTGCAGCTTCCTTCCAAAGGGGATAAACACAGCTGTACACAGATAAACCAGCCCATACTAATTCCATATCCAGTTGACCTTGGTACTTGAGGTGAAAACGAGCCAGGGGAATAGGGCAAGAAAAGGGGGGGGGGGGGGGGAAGGAGGAAAAAAAAGGTCAAAAAGCCCCTCGCAAACAGCCAGGTAAGGGCTAACTCAAATGTTTTTTGCCTGCTCAGAAAAGTTTTGAGGGCCCCGAAGTAAATGATGTTACTGAGGATTCCCTGTAACTTTCTGACACTGGAGAAAAAGTGAGGAGACAGGTCAAAACTTGTGCCACAATTACCATCCTCGTGTGCTTGTCATATTTCCCAGGAGTAAAAGCAAATGAACCTCGCCTCTCAGAAGCATTTATATCAGCAGCTTTCCTTGGGTGGAGCAAACAAGCCGGAAGAGTAAATACACATTAACTCTTACCGCCTCACACACCATAAATAAATAAAAAAAAAAAAGGTATTGAAAACATGGCTGCTTAGCGAGCTCCAATCCAAATTTCAGCATTAGCTCACATTTTAAAAGACACAGATCTCAGCACAGTTTATTGCAGTTGGTTTTCAAGTTTGCTGCTCCATTATTAAAAATAGTAACCCCACCAGCAACAAGGGGATGCCTAAGATCCTAATAACGTGTATTACAGGCTCCTTACACGGAGTCCCGTATTACATTCAACAAATTAACCTTCCAAGACAACTAGGAAGCAAAGAAAGAGGATTTAATTCATTTTTCTTTCCTTTTTTTTTTTATGGGCCTGCGGCCAGGGCAGCCCCTTCCTTCCCGCAGCGGCCGCCGGCTCCGCTCTGAAGCGGCCGCCGGCGCCGCCCGCCCGAGGTCCATTTTGAACCGCCCCCCCCAACCGCCGCCGCCGCCTCTCGCGGGGCCGGGGCCGCTGCGGGGCTGCCCGGGCGGCCCCGCCGCCGCCGCCGCTCCACGTGAGGAGGCGCCGCCCGCCTCGCGGCCGCCGCCGCCGCCGCCCCGGCCCGCGCGCCCCGCGGCCGCCCCGCCCGGCCCCGCCGCCCCCGCGGAGCGCGAGGGCCGCGGGCACCGGCGGCTCCGCGGCCGCCTCCCCGCACCGGGAGCTCCCCGGGATGTGACTCATGACAAATAAATATATATATATATATATATATATGGACACACCCTCCGAGCCGGACTGACATAATCCCCCCTCCCTTCCCCTCAGCGCGGGGGCAGGAAAACGCAGGCGTCTCGCGAGCAGAGTTAAAAGAATAATAAGAATTAAAAAAATAAATAAAAATAGAAGCGAATCCGGGCGAGCGGGCGGGGAGCCGCGCAGCCCTCCCGGCCGCCGCCCGCGCCGCGGAGCCGCGTCCCGGGTCCCCTCGGCCGACCCGGGCTCCGTGCCCGCACCTGGATGTAGTTGTTCTCGCAGTAGTCGGCGACGCGAGTGAGGTTCTGGTAGCTCTCGAGCAGCGCCCGCTTGCCAGACGGGATCTCCTCCTCTAGCAACATCTGCAACTCTGCCATTTTCCCCCGCTCCGCATCGCTTCCTCTTGCATTAAAGCGACGGCGGCGGCTCGGCGCTCACAGCCCGCCTGGTATTGTGGGATTCCGCCTCGCCGCGCCCCCGGCAGCGCCGCTCTCCCCACCCATCCTGCCCCTCCGCCAGGGGAGGGGAAGGAAGAGAGAGAGGAGGAGGGGAATAAAAGAAGGAAGGAAGAAGAAAAGGGTAGAGGGAAGGCAGGAAGAGAAGAATGAAGAAAAAAGAAAGGAGGAAAGAAAAAAAAAAAAAAAAAAAAAAGGAAACTCGCCCTGCAAGGGAAGCTGGGAGTCGTAGGCGCCGCTGCCCGCGCAGGGCGGCTGCGCGGTGCGGGCGCTGCTCATGGCCGCCGCGGAGGGACATGGCGGGGCCGGCGGCCGCGCGGGAAGGGATCGCCGCGGAGGCTGCATGGGCGGGCGGCAAGGCGGCCTCCCCGCGCCGGGGCTCCCGCAGCCGCCCCGCAGCGCTGCCCTGCCGGGCCGGGAGTCGCGCCGGGGCAGCGCCGCGCGGGCCGGCCCCAAGGGCGGCGGGGAGGCCCCTGCCGGTACCTTTCCCGTAGAGTTTCCTACGACCCGTCTGGACATGACGATTCGCAGTTACCTTTTTTTAAAGTTTTATTATCAAAAAAAGAACTAAATGGATGCATACATTATTCGTGCCACACGTTTGTCCTAGTTGCTAATCATTGTTTCAGCCTTTGTCCCAAGAAGATGTGGCTGATAAGGGTGCAGTTGTTCTTTAGCAGAATGTCTATTTATTTATTTATGAAAGTAAAATGCTGTTTTCATGTTCCTACCCAAAAGAAGGCAGTAATAGCAGGTGGCTTCTCTGCTGAGCAGTCCAAGCCTGTCTTGCAGTAAGTAACAGGCTCCAGAAGGAGCTGCTTCCTGGGCCATTACTCATGCCCTGGCCTGATTGCTTTCTGTGCACGCCTACAGGTGGGGTTGGCTTTTGCATTTTAGTTGTTGCCCCACAGAAACCCAGGAAAACATCAGCATATTTGGGAACAACACTCTCAAATGCACCGTAGTAGGAACAGACTGCCTAAAATAGCCTGGGAAGGTCTTCACAGATGGAGTTACAGAAACCCACCTGTCTGGAGAGCAGGAACACAAGAGACCTTCCAGTGTAGCCTGCAGCAGCAGAGAAGTGCTGGCAGTGCAGCACTTGCTGGGGGATAGAGATGCAGGTTAATTTGTTTGGCAACCCAGCAAAATTGTTTCCAAAGTGGTTTTGATAACTCTCTTTAGGACAGCATATAATTTCCAATCAAACATTTTATTTGGGATTTGAAGTGCCATTTTAATGTAATCAAGTTTGACATGCAACACTATTGAAATATGGACAAGCCTTTAATGGCTCCCAGGGCAAATGTGATCAGAAGTCATAGTTGGAAACAAGACTTCTCCTTGTTTCCAACTATAATACAAAGACAAATTTGATTTCTCTAGTCAGTCTGGCTGGAGATCCCACCCTTGTCTGGGATAAGTTTATAATTGCCTGCAGATCACAGGCTGACTTCGTGGAAGCTGTTAACATCCTCAGAAGTCTCACAGTTACTGGTTCTTCAAATGCTATTGCTGCCCTTTATCAAGAGCTGGCACATGTTGGAGTCTTGAATATTAGCATCTTTCAATAAGAAAAAACATCAGTTCCGTGTCTTTTGCCAAACGCGTTGCACTCCACTTCAGTGGGCAAACAAGCACTGAAAGCAAATGGCAGAACCCCAAGCTGAGCCGGGCAGTGGTGGCCCCCAGGGAATATTCCTAGCTCAGGAAGTAGAGCAGAGGCTCCAGATGCTCATAGAGCCCCTTTGCCTCCATTGATCTCAACCCAGAAGGACTTGCGTAAACCCCAAACCTGTCCATCTTCCTCAACGTGCTCCAAGGAGCTTGGGAGACCGCATCAAAGAGCGCCATCTTGTGACACCAGCTCCAACACGCCTCGTGAAGTGAGGCCTCCCTTGCACAGCCAGGGTTTAACCGGTTCATGTGGACAGACCTATTGCGGGTGCAGGAACACCACGGCTGGCTCCACACTGAGCGAGGTCAGCAGCTCCACCAGGACGTTTTAACTTAGTGCCACTGAACCACGGATAGTGGTTGCTAGTGCAGGCCACATGAGAGGGACAGGGAAACATGCTTTGGATGTGCTCAACTAGATCAGTAGGCTGCATCCAGCTCCATGCTTGTCCTGGTTCCAGAATGACTTTCTGGGACATGGCCAGAGTATCTTTACCCTATATGTCAAGTTCTCAGGGTATTTATTGTTTCATATCGACCAGACCCAAGCTGGCTCCATGAACGTCCATGGGGTGTACACCAAGCAATTCCTGAGTACCTGAAAGCACAGAGGCATTCAAGCTATGCGAGGACTTGCGTACGCAAATCTAGCACAACCGGCACTGAGCCAGAGCTGATAAACCCTTGGACCTAAGTGGACCTTTTTTAAAGACACTGATGTGCGTCTAAACTGCATTCACCAGGGTGACTTTTAGAAACCATTTTCTTTTTTCTTTTTTTTTTTTTTTTTTAATTTTCACATTTTCCCACAGCTGCACAACAGACTTTTGATTAGAATGGGAAGTTAACTAATTTGCTCAAGATTTATGAGAGTGTGCAAGAGAAGTGGGGGAAAGAAAACCCTTAATTCTCTTGCCTGAGAAGGCTGGACTGGTGGAAAAAAACATGCAAGATGCTCTTCAGGCTCCATCCAGATAACCACCAGAATGAGATGCCATCCAGAGCAGAGTGCTGATGTACTGCCCTGCCTCTCTGCTGCCCATTCGAACATCCCTCCCCACTCAGTGGGCATGGTGGTCTGCAGGGGCAACCCTGGCCTCCTGGGACTTAGTTCATTCCTGACTAGGACAGAAAAAAATTGACTTCTAAATGCTCCCTCCTATAGCATCAAAGTAACTTCTCTTGAACTGTAATTTATGTAGCTGTGTAACTGTCTGTTCTGTTTTCAGATTGATGTGTCTTTGTTTCTCCTTTGGGGACAGTACATGCTTCAGCAGTGCTGGTTGCAAAATAGCCTTTATATCTTGTTGGACAGTTTCTCAGATGGATCTGTTCCTGATCCAGCTGTTGAGCCATACAAGTGCTTTTGACCGGTGCAATGGAGAGGGGGATGAGGGATGTGAGGGGGGAGCTGGAAGTGTAGAGGACATGGTGCATCTTGAGTGTCAGCTCTACTGCCAACACCAACCTCATGTTCCTGTCAGAAGTATTTTATTGATTACTGTGGTTTAGTTACAGAAGTGCAGCTCTAGTAGGACATCTTGTACGAATACTTATCAGTTTTTTTTCTGGGACAAAAAAAGATTTTTCAGTGTCTTTTATTCTAAAGAAGAAGTAACTGCCCAAGAAGCTACAGAGCTGTACTGGTTTGCCTTCTTGTGCTTTCATTCTACTGCGCAGAGGCTTACTTAAGAACTAATATAATTAAGCGTATTAATATTTTAATTATCATCACAGAGTGTCCAAATGTTGGAGAGGCGAATGGAGTTGTCCCCCTTCCAGAGATAATTTGCCAGGCTCCCCGCATGCCTCCCGAGGCCTATGCCCCTCTCAGCTAACACTCTAGGCTTTTCCCTCGCAGCCGTGTCAAGGGCAGACGCTCCCTGCCTCCTGCCGGCCTCGCGGCAGGGACGGCGGCGCCGCGGGCAGTGCCATGGGCAGCGCGGTGCCATGGAGGCTGTTGGCATGGCCTGCGTGGGCCTGTGGGGCTGCGGAGCCATGCGCGCGTTGCTAGGCAGCGCGGAGCTCCGCGTGGCCGCCCGGCACCACCGCAAGGGTAACACCCGACGCTGCGGCCCTGCGAATACACAAGCAAGGGGCACAAAAATAAGTAGCTCTGCCGCACTGTGGCATGACCTTTCTCCTCTAAAACACCTCCGCTTTGCCTGCTGCCTCCACCTCGTTTTTCATATAGCCCTTTCTTCTTTCCACCACCTGCATGCTTATTTTAGCTCCCAGCCAGTGCTGTGATCTCTAAAGTCCTTCTTTTTCTGTCATCCCCACTATCCTTTACTTAACCTGTCATCTCAGTTGTTCACCCTCATACTCTGCTGGAGCTCCTGTTCCTTTTGTCTCTTTTGTTTTGTTTTCGCTCATTTTTCCCAATTAACCTGTAGCTGCCAGGACTTTGCTTTTCCATTTCCACTGTACCAACGATCTCCTCCCACATCTTCCCATCCCAGCAACCCATCAAAGCGCTCTCTGCTGCCATCACTCACAGCTGCCCATCACTGGAAGGCATCTTGTCTTCCTAATCCCTTAAAATGCTACACGCCAAGAAGCGGGAGGCATCCACTGGCCTATGAGTGTGGCAAAAGTGGAGAACGAGGGCACAGATGATGCAGCCATAGATATGCAGAACCTCAAGAAAACCCATTTCCTTATAGCTAGTCCTAATCCAGGTAGCAGGGCTACAATATTGTGTGACGAATGTCAAGATATCACCTCTTATATCAGTAAAAAATAAGCCCAAACTTTCATAAAAACATTGTGAGGAAGGATGGCTTTAAAGCAGACGTTTTGATGCCTTTGGTGCAATTCTGGCATGGTTTATTTTCTGACTGTGATCCTTTTTATTAGCAAGTATTTTTCATCCTTTCATTTAATGGCTTTGTGGGGGTTCAACATGAAAAGAATTATCCTATGCAAGAGGTAGGCACTGAGTGGGAGTCAGTTTTCTAAATAGACCCATGCAGGTTTGGCCCATAATTAGAGGGTTCACTGGAATTTCCTGCCGAAGTAGCTGTTTGTTGGAGGGTGCCAGTTCTTTAAAACAGAGCATACACTTTGATCTATAAATGTGAAACACAACTTTCATGGGGAAAGGTTTCTCTCCTTCTATACAGCTTCTGGGCAAAGCCAGGCATTTAGCAGTGAGAGGGAGTATAGCAGATCCAACATCAAGTCTCCATCTTCCCTGACTGAAAGCAGACACTGGAAGGTGGATGCCGCATATCAGCAGTATCCTACTCACTTATTTCTTCTGGAGAGAGCATCCCTAGTAGAAGAAAACACCTCTCAAGCTCTTGAGAAATGTTTTTATGTCTCAAAACA